GGAAGGTGAGGGCGGAGCGGAGGAAGGAGGAGGGAGACAGCGAGAGGGGAAGAAGAGGAGGCCTTCCCGTGTGTCGCTGGTCAGTCAGTCAAACCGTCAAACTGCCTTGCCTCCCATTGTCAACACACCTCCTCCCCCTCTTTCAGACCATTTCTTCCCTTCTATTCTTGTCTCTTTCCTTCCTTGTTTCTCCTATCGTAATGTAATTTTTCTGTTTAGCTTAAGTTACAACGACGTCGAGGGGGGTTTAGTTTGTCTGATTTCTGTGTTTCTGTTGTGTGTCCTGGACTAACAATTTCCTCCCGCATCCGTCTACAAACATGGATGCGGGAGGCAGTCATTCAACGTTGCCCGCATACATTCGATAAACTAACCGGACGAAATCCGTTTAAATAAGGCCGAATTTCATATAAACATGCCAGATTTCATTTAAATTAGGATAATTTTTATATAAATATTTCGGCTAGTGAACTAAAAACCTTAAAACATAAACCCTTAACTACTCTACACTTGACGGTGACCTTATGGGCCATGTCGGGCTAGCTGGCGGCTCCTCCTCCATCATCGTCGCCCGATCTGGTGGCGGAGTCGTTGGAGTCGGGCACCGGAAGGTGACGGCGGAGTCGTTGGAGTTGGGCACCGGAAGGTGGCGGCGTTGCAGCAGGGCTTCCCGGCAGCCGCGTCACGCTCGCGGATGATCCTCTCAGCTTCCTCCTGTACCGGGCGCAGTGCGGCCGCGGCTACCGACAACGTGGGAGAGGCGAGAGGGCGCCGGGCCTGGGAGGAGCCAGTGTTGGCTGTGGCGATCTCACTGAGGGACCACTCCTACTTGGCCATCTCTCATCAAAGCGGCAGAAACACCGCTTGATCATCTCCGCCATCGTCACTGAGCGGTCTAGGGCCCGGGCGTACACCTTCTCCGGGTCCGGCGCAAATGTATGGCGCCGAGGCGTTGGAGTCCGTGAACTCCGCGCCGGCATGCCACGTTGCGCCTATCCCGCCAGCGCCCCTGTCGACGTACTCCTGCGCCGTTAGGGCGCTCCAGGATGACTAAGAGCTGCCGCTGCCAGAGCTGCCGCCGAGGTAGTGGCGAAGGCGACCACGCGCCTTTGTGGTCGCATTGGGCACGAGTGGCAGAGAGTGGCGCTCCTCCTTGACGTGTCGGGGCGATGATGAGTGGCGCTCCTCCTTTGCGCGTCGGGGTGGCGACGAGAGGTGCTCTTCCTTCACACGTCGGGGTTGCGGCGACAGGGGCTCCTCCTTCACGCGGTGCCCAATTTGGACACCCCGGTTGGGCGGTGGAGAGCGCGAAGGGGATGTCGGCTCCGACTTCACGGGGAGGAGCATCCCCGGTGGCGGAGGCGGGCCGTTCAGGTGGAGGATGGAGCGACTGAGCATCAACTCAATCCGCTGCTCGTACTCCTCATCTGTGGCCGTGTACACCTGGTCCGCCACCACTCCCGCGGATTGCTGCTGCAGCGACGACTGGTCCTCCTCGTCGCTGGAGGAGATGACGATCTCCGCCTTCATGGAGGAGCCTCCTGTCGATGAGGGCGACGACCCCGGAGTTCGAGGGTGGCGTCATCACGATCCGTCGAAACCCACCCCGAAACTGCTGCCTGCCGACGCCGAGGCCCAGGACTTGCCCATCACCGGAGTTGTGGACGAAAAGGGGCGGGAAGGGGAGGAGGAGGAGGATGAGGAAGAGCGAAGAGATCCTTTTGCTATGCTACAACATTCTTGGCATCCTTCACCCAAAGTGTCAACTCATATGTTATGCTTATGAGTTATGATGAGATCCTTTCTCTATTTTGGACGGTTTGATGTCCTACCAATTTTGATGCTTCGTGACTCGTCTGATTCCCCTCGATGATCCACTTTTCTGGTTTTACTTGTTCAGCCACCATGTCATATCCCTAATCGCTAGCCTCATTCACTTCTCCATTGTGTGTCCTTCAGTCCCCTCCAGAGGTCGTTCAAGTCCGAGGCGGACATGGTGGCTCGCCGCCCTCAGCAGCGATGAGGATGAGCACGAGGTGGAAGCAAACATGCCTGGTGTAACGTCCCAGCATATATGGTTAAGATCTAGACTGATCTCATAGATCAACACTACTATTATCCTCAAATTGCTCTAAGCCAAGAGGGAATTCCTTATTATTATGTCTAATTTTGAGGTTCCTTGCAGACGAGTTTCTGAAGAAAAAAAGAAATTCTTTATTGATATGAGTAGCATATCTATCATATTAATCCGGATATTATACATGGCCTTTCGATAGTAGAGGGAGTGTACAAAATAATCTTGTACCAGAGTTTTCTCAAAAGAAAAACAAGGAAAAGTAAATAGTAGACACTAGTGTTGGGCATGCTTCCAACACGGTTGGTAACATCATCATTGGTAGGTGTGATATTGGTTTCTTTATTCCAGAATCGGTATGTGCAAATTTTATTAGGGACAAGGCGTTCAATAGTCCTTAAACATCTACTCTCTTTGTTCCATAATGAAAGACGTTTTTTGACATTACACTCTTTCTCCAAATATCTAAACATGCATCGAGCTATCTTACACATGCGGCAGCTAACGATTTGTATACATACTGTAAAAGGAAAAAAAAATGCATACTGTTAAAAGATGTGCTCCCAAACTAGCTTTGCATGATCGGCCAGTGTTAATTTCCTGGTGGTTCCATACCAGCAGCCACTTAATTATAATAATACTACGAATTAAGTTTGATTTGATTGCCTGACAGCGCTATGTTGGTCGTCTCTCCGCAGCAGTCTAGATAGGGAGGGATTAAGCAGATCAAATGTGTGTTATGCCGGGAAAAAACTTTTGTAATATTTACACTCAGCGTGTGTTGACTTCCCATGCGTCGTAGCCGGGTAGATTCCTCCTTGGACGCGGTCTTGGTCAAATCAACTTTCGTTCATGGACCGAACCTTTCGAAATCATCTGTATTTAAGAGGGAAAAAAGTGTCAAAAGATGCAACAC